TAGGATTTTTGTGGAGATTTCGTCCTATAAGTGGAGCCAATCTAAGCTGAAAAGCCGGGAAGCGCCATACAGCTGTTTCATCCTTATTGGGAACAATCAGCAGTACGCATCTCACAAAACTCCGTGTTGACTGGCTCCCCCCGTGATTGAAGGATGAGCGGCGCTCTATCCTGTCTAAGCACGAGTTAATCACACTGCTCATCAGCCACTCGTGGCCGAACGGTTAAGTGTTCAAACTACTAGCCAGGAGGTCGCGGGTTCGAAACTCTTCGGAGTTTCCTGAGATGTGCACTGCTGATGAATCTCAATAAGGATGAAACAGGTGTACGATTATTGTATCTGCTCAGGAAAAGTTGTCGAATTTTTTCGAGCAACGGAAAGATAGTAAGTTATAAGACGGATGTTCGAGACATTTCTGTAGACTGCGTTGGTGAGTAAGCCTTGATCTAGGCCAAAACTGGCGAAATAATCGCCAGTAATTACGTTACGGACTCCTTAATTCCCACGATTATAATGCGCGTTCTGACTAAGAAACGCAGTCCCTTTGCTCTATTTTTATATGCACCTAGACAAGGGACCACACTGTACACGTAACTGGTTCATGTGTCGCCAATAATCCAGAACTTTGTGCCAAATTTAGCCCGTTTATTCGGCATAAAGTGATGAACCGTTGGAACGGTTTCAATGACATAAGTTGTTCAAACCAAATTCAGGTAAATGAACATATTAGACGATTCGAATGTTTCGCCTATAGGTGTATCGATCTGTGAGCTAAACTTTTATTGGCATCATCAAATCATAAATGTTTTTAATCAGAAGTTATCGATCCCTTGGTAGCATTATGAGGAAAAACTGTGCACCAAGATCGTCAGTGACTCTGTCGGTAAGACTCACTTACCTATTGGGTCTATTAAAAACTCACCTGTAACCACCTAAAATACGGTCACCGTTTAACAGAGAAAGTACTCCGCCGAAACTCTCTTTTTCCATTGCAGGACGAGTACTAGTGAAAAGTGGTCGCCGAAAGTCAAAATGACGCACTTCAAACAGGTTACTCCACACATTTTGAAAATTACCGGGAAAAACATGGACGATCATGCAATCATTCTTTGGCAAGTCAAACAACTTCCTGTTCCTCGTCTAGTTGCTTTCATAGCGTTCAGCTGTAACGACTAAACTGATCCACGCAACGTGAAAACACAAAATTAATTGAGAAAAAACTGAGTGCACCCGTGAAACTAGATTTCATAGAAATATGTGAAGATAAAATGTCCAACTCCAGGAAAAATATAAAAAGTTTTGACCGCAAGCTACTTCTAGGAACAGCTCAGGAGATAAAGTGTAGATTGAAAAACTGCTTCGAAACTTCAAATAGCCGGAACGTCTGATTCCCACAAGTACTTAACCTGAGATTTGACCTTGTTTTCTAGCAGAAAAAATTCAGAACCACGTCATTTGTTTATCATGTTGAAGACGGTTGTCCCGGTACCGGCTGTTCACAAAACGTTTTCTTTTCTCGCACAAGCAATCAAAACCCTACTTATATATGTGTATTTGCATTTGTCAAGTGATGAGGCTTTTGTAAGCCTCTATTTGTAAAATTCGACCGCACTGTATAATACTATTTAACTCAGTGTCCAATTCGCTTTGTTGGTGGCCTGGTTGAAGACTTGTAAAATAATCGGCTTTTTTGATTCGTTTTCGAGTAATGCTAATAAATGTAGACAATACGTGGGAAGCAACGAAACAAAGCTCAGGAGAATCGTCTCAGCTATCATACACGTTACACACACAGTTTGACCTACAAGGACATATGTGGTTACAGTGCTTCTAGTTAACCTTAGTAGATCTTTCATGAATTTAGATGTCACGGCAGTTGTTCATGAATTCGTATGGTACTTCATGTCGAATCAAAGGTTAACTTGAGCGTAGGAACAATGTGGTTGGTGAATGTGGAGGGATTCATCTTAGTCGATGCAATCAGACTTATAACTCAACATGTGTTTGTCGGAACAAAAATGTGATGAGAATGACGACAATCATTGATTGGTCAGTGAGAAATGGCACAGCACAAAGGTTTTACGCGCGTTCTACATAAAATAACAACTTTCGAATCCGTACGGATACATATGGGTTTGTTGCACAATGTGGCTACCAAAAAGGTACTTCCAAATGATTAGGCTTAGGTATCTCCGGTGAGGAAAGTCTGAAATGAACGAATGACATAAGGATAGCAGCACTGTCCTGTGTATATGGGGCTACTCGTTTTGCGTAGAAAGTTTCGTCACCAACGTTGACTTCACAACATCCGTGCATTATTAAGGTTTTGCTTGATATTGCTGTGTTAGCAACTGATAAAAAGTAAGCAAACTTGGGCAAAGTACCTAGTCACAAAGCACTGAAGATGTTGCCTGGATTGGTGATGAAGATTTTTTTAGCCAAGTATCAGGCTCACTGAAGAAACTGGTGAACAACTATGAAAAAATAAAAGAAACGCTTGGGTAGAGTATAGAACACACGTTCGTTTACCAACGGACGCAGCAATTGTTTATAAGATCTCGGCAGCTTTCTTTCTTTTGCAAGTAAATGCGCGCTTCTGTTTCACCACTGAACGTTTAGTGGACCATTTTGACGAATGCACCTACGTGTTCACAAAAGATACACATTTATGTGTAATCTTATGTGATTTCATTTGTGCGTTTTGTTGTGCAGTTATGTCAACGAGTGTGGTAGTGTGCGAACCTTAGAGTGCTAGGAATTTTACTGCCACCACAGCCATTGTCGTCCACTTAGAAGGTCCCTTTTTGAAAAAAGACCATGCTGCTCAGTTTTGTTTTCGGTTGTCTCAGTTTAGGTCCGGAATGGTCTCCAGTTTCGCCATCGATAGGTGTGCCAATTCGTTGCACAGCTTTTCGCCAAAACACACACGTTTACGGAGATAGTTTTATCAGCGGTATTGGCATGTACTCGAACCAGATTAGGATGAATGAATAGGCTGGTGGCTTTCGAATATATCGAGTCATACAATATAGATTAAGATGACTCAAACCGTACGTGTATTCCAACAGCTGGTCACTATTCATGTGGACCGTAATCCAACCCAGCAAAGACAGTTTAACAGTTATGATCGTAGTACGCACCGCTATAGCCGTTGAGATGGTTCCAAAGGGCCGAAATATGTTTGAAACTCTTAGACAGTTTATTTGTTCTGTTATACCAACATAACTAAAGGACGCTAATCAGGTGATGTCTATTAGCTGGGTTTCATCAGAGATCTTCAACTTATACCTACCCTATCTTGGAAGTCACACATATCACGCTTTATGTAACAGATTACATAACTCTCAGGGCGATTTCAGGCGATATCCTCCCACATTCTGCCAAGTGATGCTCCTAATGAGGGTGAAGTTTATACTTTTCCATGTAGCCGTCTTCAAGATCTAAGCTTGTCATTTTTTTCGGAGCATTATATCTGATTCGTTGGCACTATATCAACCAACATGGCGGCATGGACTCAAAAGCGACGTTTTGCATTAGCTTAGTTTATCGATCGTTCTGGCTTACTAACCCTCTCCGTCACCTATGTATTTAGTATCTTCCTTCCAATGTCAGTTGTAGGCGTGATGGCTAAAATCGCGCTTTCAAGCCTGATACTTCACTTCAAAAAATTGTTTCTAGTTACTTAGCCTACCACTTTCAAAGCCGAAGCTGTAATAAAGGTTTTACCAAGAGAGCTATTTGGCACAAGTTACCCAAAGGTCTAAAATATTTAAAAAGAAAAAAAATAGTGTACACTGAGAACGCTGAGATCAAGTTATGGGCTTCTTGCTGGGTATGTATTCTTTTGTAGCTTCTAGGTTACAAGTTGTGCCAACTGAACTGTTTCTGAGAAATTTTCATCGCAACTCTTCAATCATCGCCAAATGCCGGAAGGTCATGGCGCGTCAATAAGAAACTGCACTTAGCTCTTGATGAACCACAAAACCACTCTTCGACGAACAATCAAGTCCTTTCAGAGGAAAGTGGTATTCTTATGAATGTCTTATCTGTTGCTCCTAAACAATACAGTGGATAATCACAGTATCATACCTGGATTCGCCGACTGCCTTCTCAGTATAATATCACCATGGAATACCAGCCCGTGGATGAACTTACGTATAAAGTCAATCAAATAGATTAACCCTAGTTGCAAGATTGCGGTTTTAGGGGAAAAAGCTACAAAAATAATAAAGGAAACCAATAGCTAAACAAAGGCAAGAAAACCAAGTTCCACACTTGTTGTTTATCCAGATTCGAGGTTGCACTTGAACGGTGAGGAATCCTACTGTCTTTCAGGATAAATATCTGTTAGTAGGCGATTGCAGTTGAATTTTGATACACACAGCAAGCACTTGCAAGACCGGTAGGTGGCGTTTAGCTGACACAGCCTGAGACTAGCGCCAAGTGTCTCACCATGTGTTTATCAAAGATGTTTGTTTAAATAAAGCTGTCATGGAGAAGTGTATACGAACCTGACTGAAGTGATGAGCCAAATATCACCAGTTTCGTGTAATTCGAGTGCAATTGTATGGAGCGTACACACAATGTTGTGTTTTATCACTATGGTTTATATGAATTAAATTAAATTCCCGTCCCTGAGAGCAGTTAGAAGCTGGTAGTTTTCTGCAGAATCCTGGAATGAAAGTGATTCCATCAACAACAAGTGTGCACCGAATTAATCCACTGTTAGCCTTCACATCACTCCTTACCAGTTGCAAGTAGAGTTATGGGGATACAAGTAGGGAATGAATTGTCCTGTGAAGTAAAACACGACATAAGGGACTGTCCGCCTAAGAGATGCTCACATCCAAAGTTTCCTCCACTGCTGATATATTTATGTCAGTTAGTGCTTGTTCATCCAGCTCGGAATTTCAACCTGAAACCCCTTTCATAGCCTTTAGTTCGCACTTCTTTGTGAGAGATACAAATATACAACTTCAAAAATTGCCAGTAGGACATACCTTTTCCACGACACGTTGTTTCACAGCATGGTCCTGGTGGTGAACTTTTTTGTCCCGGAAGACATAGCATTGGACAGTGGTGCGGTTCACTGGTACATTTGATAGTGCCGTCCTCACAACGACACTTCCCACACGGCGTCTTCGCTGACATCCAGATTTCAGCGTGTCTGTAGTGGACTCCAGTCAGTGGATATAGACAGCCTGTCCGAAGAGGATTGGTGTAAAACAGTAAGCAATGGGATGTTGGTAGTGTGCTATCCTGTGCTAAGGCCGTGATCTCAAAGCAAGGAATTGGTTAATTAGCCTAAACGCACGATCTTAGTATCCTATCTGACAGGTAACGTGTAGTCTAATTCACCGACGGACGGTCACTAATAATTGTGGCGAAAGCGAATTCTACGAACGTCAACTGCGTTTGTTCAGTAGTCGCAATTGGACAGTGGACAATGTATCGAATTAAACGTACGGACAGACAGTATAGATAGGTGTATCGTGGTCCCATAAGAAATTAACAGTAAATCCTGAGGCTTCGGCTAGATTGAACCTCGGGCAGTGAGCAACACTGCATGGCGCAGAAAGGGCAGTGTGCTATCGGACAAATTAAACAGAAAAAATGTTGTTCAGTTCAAAGTGGGACAAACTTTCAAAAACAAGCCCAGAAATGAAGGTGAACGGACTGACTATAAAAAACGGTTGATATAGAGTTGACTTTGTATAAAATAGAATAGTTCAGCCTTGAAATGTGAGCAGTCACTAGAAGAGTAATGAATTAGCCTGAGGAATAGGGTAACAAATAAGTAGTTCTGATAACTGGTAGTGTGGCGTACTTTTGCCACTTGATCGTATATTCGGGAGTACAGATCTAAGGAACCATGTAACGTGCTCAGAAAACCAATTAGTGTGCCCATTAGCGAGCGTATAATAACGCTTGGCAAATGCACTGAAACAAGCCTCAGCTAGACAAAGTTTACTGTTTGACTTATGCTCACTGCATTTCACAAGATATTAAGTTTGTTTGACCGAAGGCAACGTGTATGCCATACGCAACCACAAAATCATAAAAATTATTTTACAAGAAACGTGCTTAAAGAACTTCGGGAATGAATAGGGAGAGAACTTTCATAGACGAAAAACACTTCTCATAAGCTTGCTGAAAATTCTTCTACAGCCCACGGCTGGTTTTGCCCTCCTTGGGGCTTATCAGGTAGGTGTATTTCCTGAGTTTCCGTCAACCTTATTTTCTACTTGGTGCTGAATTGAACAAAATAAGCAAAACACATTCATTTACAAATACACAACTAATAAGGTTGCTGAAAATTCTTCAACAACCCAAGACGGGTTTCCCCATTCATCGGTTCAAATAGGCGCATTCCTCGAGTTTCCCTGAAATGTACGTTACTTGAACTCAATTTGAATGACAGTTACAAAATGCCCACTTTTATAAACCAATTTGCATTTAAACCGAGAACTAAGTGAATCCTGATTCGGGTTAAAGTTGCAACACTATACGAGATATTAAATTATTCTCCTTTTACAGAAAAGGCTGAAATTTGCCGCCCACATAAGTAACCTATCACGGAAAACCTCATCGGGGCTTTTTCTGACTACAAGTTTCTTCACGAATCCGCGGAAAAAAGGCTAGGGTTTGAGAGAATAGCATTTAATTTTTTTAAGACAAAAGAATTATTGTTTGTACGTGAACGGCTATGGGAGTCAAACGTAAGACGGCCTAGTGCAGCACATTTATCTGCTTAAAAACACCATAAATTGGAGATTTAGCCGGGTTTCAGGTGAGTCTCCCGCGAAAATAAATTGGTTTACAAATGAGTGTATTTTGGTAGGGAGAGCACTTCTTTGTCTGGCAGACACCCTTGGAGTGTTTTGTGATCGGAAGATTTGAAACTTCATCCGGGAGATCAGTGTGTCACAAAGCTAACCACATGCCCACCGACGTCGCTGCATCAATCACTTCTATGACCAGAATGCCTTGTGGCCGAGATGTGGCAGTTCTTTGAACTGGCTTGTGGAGCAAAGCACCGTTAACATCCCTGTTTAAGTCCTGACAACCTTGGTAACCTTGGTTGCAATGATAAACACTGAACCTGAACTCCCTCATGCATTTTATTCGACAGTTTGAGCACAGGTGAAGAGGAAAGCAAAATGACTTGAAAAATAGAATTCTGAAATCATAAGATGCAAGGTGGGGTGAGCTATCAGTTTCAGGCATAGTTAGTCGTATGTCTGTTGATGTGTTTACTGGATCTCACAAAGGCGGTGCAAAACCTTCATTAAACGGAGAGTTAGCGAGAATCCCTGAAAAGTTTGCAGGCTGATTGCCAGACTGTGCGAAGAGACTGAACAACATCTAATAAAATAGCACAAGTTAGTACGACTGTTTTAAATAACGAGATTCGAACAGCTATCCAGAGCCTCGAGGATATCGACCAGGCGGAGACGGTTGTAGGGACGTGTGACTGAATTACTGCATCTGAATAAGGTTGGACTGATCATTAGTGAGAGTATTTTTGTGTTTAAATGGTTTCATTCCTTTTGGAGGCTGTAAAATTGGCAAACGTCGGCTAATTTTCGGCATATGTCTGACTCCTCGGTCTGACAGGGCTTACAACGAAATCATCCATCAAAATCGAATAAAACGTAGGCTGGCAAGATTTCTCACTTGAGAAGGCTGCACTACTGCACGCAATGGGTGATCCGCGGTGACAGAAAAGCGAAAAATAATTATCAGCTCCTGGAGGAAACAGTGAAAGAAACGTTGTTTTCTGTTCCCTATCCCAAGGTTAATGGGTTTTGGCTTTACAGATCCGGAAGTAAATCATATCATATATATTTCGGCTTATGAAACCCTGAGGTGACAATCAGTCTACACATGTTTGGTGAAAGTAAAGTCCAAAAACCGTTAAGATGATCCTGTGGTATGGAATCGTCCCAGTACGTTTATTCTTTCTCTAATGGGAAATTCAAACCTGAAATCCAATAAACAGTCTAGCACACATTTCCGCCCTAAAGAAAGTCTGTTTTTTTGTCTGGAACGCAAATTTGGTTCAGCTGTGACCCCCGCTCAACAGAAATGTCGGAGGATGATAATTCTGATTGACAAAATACATTATGATCGAGAAGTAGCACAGATGTCTGCGTACTGATTGGCAACCTTTTGAGAGGAAACCATGAACAGACAACATATAGGTCTTGTCTACATTCCACAGGTCTTCCGATGAACGGTTAGGCGTTTAAAGCGGGTGTTTTAGGCCACTGTTTTCCCAGGCCGATGATATTCTGCAAACTGAGGTGAGAGCAGAATATCATCGAAGCACCCTTCGTTTCACTAAAATGATGATAACGCACCTACAGCACACGGAGGGACAGGACAGAAGGACTGGAGAAACGTTAAACACTGACAGTAAACGGTAGATTGAAGCTAAGGATTGTTATAATATAAAACGAGAGAACCATTTAACCATTTTTTCGTGTGATGATTACCATAGCATGAAAGATGACATGAACGGTTTGCAGTTTATATGATATGCATGTAAAACAATTCTTCACAGTGATCATCAGACCGAATCCGACAGCTACTATGGCTGATATTTGTTCGATAATCGAGGTAATCACAAGGTTGAGGAATACCGACCTCAGATGAAATATAAAATTGCCACACACGGTGTGTTCAAAAGATCTCATTAAGCTTAAAAGCTATCCAACCCACAATTGATGTGATGATGTTCAAGGTCGAAGCATCCACTGTGGGTGGAGATAAACCGTGTTGGACTGACCGAAAACACTGTGAAACAAATCACCCTTCGTAAGAACGGATAAGATCTACTCGATCAGCCTTAGAAAATGCGTAATGTATTAGCTGATTTAAGGTCCCTGAGGGGATGAACACTACGAGTGCATTTCGGTGATACTACCAGTGTAACGGTGGATGCTACTGACGAAGCATGCGAGTAGTCTACGTTTGGCGTCGAAGCTCCACCCACGTATCTGATGGAAGGTAACGTGTATTACGGAAATTGTGGAACTGCTTTTCAGTGTTCGTTCACGGTTTTGTTATGTAATTACTTGGTTCATGTTTTTTAATAAAGGACTTCGCAAGGAAGGACATCATTTACCCGTAGTTTCATCTCTAATCCCACTAGTGTACGAGCCAGCATCTAGTGGCAGACATACGTTCCTTTAAAGCTTTATTTAGCCATACCTTAACTTTGCATGGTAAGGCTGCGCACGTTCATGCAGTACAAACAAACAGGGATTTATTTTTTCTCGGGTTGCCGTCTAGTAAGTTTTTCGTTCCCCGGTCCTTCCAGTAGGATAAATTCTGTGAAATAAATTTGGTCACATTGGAAGAAGTTAAGTGATATTTTTCTTCCCAAAAGGTCTTCAAACGTGTTTCACACTGTGAAAAAGGGAAGGAGTGTCAGTTTTGCAAGCTTTGCCTCGCTGAAAAACTCACTGTTTCGTGGATGGCTTGTGGTGTACTATTTTTTAATTCGTGATATTTAACCAATCAAAACATCGGACCAAACAGATACGTATACGGAATGACACGCAGAATCATTGTCTCTAGTCTCAATTTCTTTCTATTCCTGTTAGCAGTCAAAAACGTTTTTGTGGTTAGCATGGTTGAATTGGGTTAGCAGATACTTGTGGAGTTACTTGTGAATGTCGCAATTGATGTTCTGGCTTTTCATGCTTCCAAGGTAAAGGTTGAAATCATCTCCTAGTTGCTCACCGAAAGAGTCTTTATCAGGACGAAGCAAGTAGCAAATTATTCTCTGGCCAAAAGTAAAGGCATCGGTTAGTCTAACGCCTCAACAATCTCTTTAGCATAAATGGCATACTTGTTTCCGATGTGCTAAAGCTAAAAATCCTTTTTTTTTGAAATTGATTCTAAATAAGCAGTGTATTAAGACAGATAACTTGATTTCCAAAGAAACCCTTGGTGGAATCTGCATCCTGAGATAAAAACGGTTAGGTAAACCGTTGCCTGGTTTCCTGATTTACGTAAATTACAGTAAGATTATTAACACACTGTTTCAAAATGTAAGTATTCCAAAAGTTGCTTAACATGTGGGCGCGGTCATACTTAGACAGTGTTATTGCTTATTAACCTCGGAGGTCGCGGATTTGAACCTTTCTAGAACTGCTGATAATCACACACGAGGCTGAAACGGACTTTCCTA